CTACCAGGAACATGGAAAAAATGTTAAAAAAATTCTATCTATAAAAATTTTGGAGTTATGAGAGTTTAAAATTTGTACTTCGACTATTTATTTCTGTTAGGAAAATGATTTTCCAAGTTTTTTTGCAACAGTCTATTAGAACGAGAAACAAAGAAGCTGCATCCTAAATTGTAACTCTGTTCAATGTTATTTGTGGCTTTTATTGGCAAAATTTTTGTACCTTTACTAAATAATTGTAAAAAACATATACAAGATCATCTGAATCATTAAATAGACATAAAAAAATGTCAAATGTCAAAAAATAAATGTCAAATTTTTTTGACAGATAAAATGTTTTAAACATTTTTTCCATGTTCCTGGTATCTTATCTTACTTAAATTTTTATCTGGGGCGCGAGTTCTGGCGCACCCTGTATTTGTGTAAAATATTTTGTCAAAATGTGGAGAAGCAACAAAAGTTTTTTTGCATTTTGAAGATATGAAACCCTATCGTATTTAATTAACTCCATAACTGTCTTTTAAAAAATGCACATAGAAGTACATATCGCATCCTAAACGCCTTAGTTTTTATCGACAAAATCAAGCTTGTTAATGGCAAGCACCATAGTCGAGTTAATTAATTGGCCCCAATTAGACGTTTTATATTGACTTGAATTTCCGTTTGATTTAAAATGTTTTGAAATTACCAAAAATCACATAGTGGATAGGCTAGTTAAATCAGTATCTCGAATTGATCTAGATTTTCTCAGCTGATGTGTATAAGCATAGTCTTTAGATTTCATTTGAGGTATGTTACCAAGTTACCACATCGGCACCCAAAATTAAAAGAATGCTTCCATTTAATTATCTGTTTAAAATTTTTGTTCCGATTCGATAGGGAGTAAAGATAAAACATTGTTCAAGGTGAGTTATTATTATAATTTAATTTCAGTACAGCCCTCGACGATAACAATCACCAATTAACTTCATTTGTATGATGGATAAAACGAACATTTGCATCCGGATAAGTCCGAAGACGAATCGAATCGGTTTTTTGCTTGTTTAAAGATGTCTATGTCAATACATTTGATTGCAATGTCGCTTTTGCTATAATGATAATAATTTTAATTGTAAAACGTTAAAAATGATAACTTGTTAAAAATAATCACGATCAGGTTGGGTCGGTATTACGTGGTTTCAGGACTGACCAGTTTTAAACCGCATCCGCAACTTCTTAGCAGTGTGGAGGCTTCTGAAGACGAAGATGGAACACGGTTCAATTTGTTTGGTTGAAAAAAGATGAAGGTTTAAATATCAGTGTCACCGGTTGTTGTCCTCTTTCGTTCACTGCAGTTGAATAAATTACTTGCTGTATTAACAGAACGCATTTATGTGTGACGTCTTGTTTGAATTGACTTTGCACAGACGATACAGACTTATACATAACTAAATGAGACAGTGCTGAATAATTTTCGGAATGACTCTGAAAATTTAAGGAAACTAACCGTTATATTTGAAATAACTTTATGTATAACAATAAATTGATTAGGTTGTTAAAAATAAAACGAGTAAACATTTTTTAAGTCTCCATATTCGCATTAAAAAACTCCATTTAGGTTGAGTTGTTATAATTTTTTGTGTTTAAATAAAATATAAAAAATGTACAATTTTAACAGATTTATGACAACGTCGGAAGTATAAAAAATAACATGATACAATAAATTGAAGTTAAAGAGAAATAGAACGAAACCGATACAATATGTTGGCGAAAGTGTGTGGAGAAATAACAAATTTATTAAAGCTTCCAGAAATTTTTTAGCGGTTATTGGCATAAAATATGAAATAAATCACATTTTAAATCAGTAGTTAGGTATATATCAAAACATTAGAGTCCTATTTTTCATTAATGTAGTAATGAAAAATCACTTTAGTTCCAAGGTGCATATTATTTTTTTTTCCAAAATTGTAAATTTAGACAAAATTTGTGCAAAATTATTTTTGAAGGTTAACTTGAGCAGTGACATTTCACAGTTGACAGTTTACTCCAGTGTTGTCAGAGATTTCGTTTTAATACATAGTACAGTTGCGGCCGTTGAAAACTAAGACACTTTGACAAATTCAAAATTTTGTTGTTGCAAAAAGCCTTTAAGCAGTTTCTAAAGTTTTTAAAATGTCATTCAAATAATACAAATCAGTGTCGTAGAGTACAAAACTTTACTTCAACACAATAAACTTTTAAATTTCGTAGATAGAAATAACTAATATTTTATTGCAACACTACTCGAATCTGAAAAATTAAAGTTGGCATTGTCATTCTTGATGAGAAACCTAATTTACACTTTACAAATTTTTAAAATAGTAGCAAATAGTATACCAAAATTTAATGTCTTAGTTTTCAAGAGCCACAACTGTACTATCTCGTCCACAAACCGCAAAATAACTAGCCACCATACAAAACCACCAAACTGGAAAAAAATTAAAAAAAAACAATACTTGTAATCAGATACGCGTTAGCAATAGGATTATGTTTTAAAACATGTCATTATGTCATTAAAACAATATTTTGACAACACTGTTCGCAACCAACAACACAAAACTCAAGAATAATGTCTTTTACTGCCAATTCTAGACTCTTTACTAACAACTTTATACAACTTTATACAACTTACTATTTCAGAGAAAAATATATTTCAGCTTTTTTTAAAACTCAGTATGCATAAAGTTTTTTGAAATAAAATAAATTCAATATAAACTGTAACAATAGATTTCTAATAATTATTTCAGTTGTTATAATTTTTGATATACTATTCACATACATACATGTACCTATGTATGTATGTTTAAATACATAGTAAATATTCAATTCAATGAATGTAGAAAATAACGAAAAAAAATGCTTTGGCGGCTTTGTTCAAACATTTTTATTCAATTTATCTATGTTCAGGCAAATTACAGCTTAACTAGGTTCACACATTTTTTCAAACTTATCGCTGGCGTTTAAATTAGATCTCATATCAAAGCAATGAAAAATACATCGTCAGGCGACTATAGTCTAGTGATTTATACAGATTCGAGTTACGTTAAAGCTATAATTTAACAGAGGTAGTTAATTGTTGGGACAAAATGTAATTAATCAAATATCGATGTTGATAGATTTTGATAGTTCGGCACCGAAGGGCATTGACGTTATGCGTATCCGGCGGACGACAGTTTTATAAACCATAATTAAAATGTTTTGTTGGGTGCTTTGTGTTGGTAGCGAGAAACTATTGTTTCGAGGCCTCAAACGAATGTCTGTGCGGCATATTTCATTTAATTATAGGTTTATAGGGGCATCAAAGCGCACAAATACTTAATAAACGTCTGTACGGCTGATGTCTTTTATTCAATGACTTTTCTTGTTGTACATTTAGCTTTTGCTACTGGCAATTGGTAAACTGCTTTAATTATGTGGGGCGACTGACAGGTGTCTTATTACATGAAGAGTTACCTATGAACGGATTATGCCATTAATTTACGATTCCCTGTTCCACCCACATTCTAGACCACTTCCATCAAACATCTGCATATTTCGAAATAATTTCAAACGGGCATTACAGTGGATATTTTCATTAGTAAATTCTGATTAAATACCTAGTTGAATGTTATCGAATTCCTTCACACTTATTAGCCAATTTTCGTTGGGCGAGCTTTTCTGCTCCAAAAAAATAAGCAGAGGAAATGTTTGCATAATTATGTGTATGAACAAACATTTGATTTGATACAATGTTTAGTCGTTTAACACCTCGGGACGGTAATTTATGAAAAATATTAAATTACAGTGTGCAGTCCACACAACATGTAATTTTTGTGTAACTTTTCAAATTTATGGTGCTGGATGTTATATTATGGCAAATTTAGCGGCGGGTTTACAGCAATTTATGTGCTTGCAGAACATTCTCTCATTTTTACTAAAATGTTGGAGAAACAGTGTAAGCAACAGACGAAATAATGCAATAAATGGCAAAAATACTTTCAAAACAAATATAGGAGAAAATAAGGTGCGATAGGAATTTTTGAAGCATCAAATATAAAGCAATGTATTATATGCAACCTGTTACGACAAACACTGAATTATGAAACGAAGTATGAAACAATTAGATTTAAATTATTCAAAATTATAAAACTTTAGCACACGTACCTACAGAGTTTCAGAATACAACATCTGTATTTTTTAGTTTTCGTATATCATTTTTTCAAGTCACAAAATTTCATGTATGGAATTTCCTGTTTTGAAAAAAACATCCTTTTATAAGAGAGATCAATTTGACTTCTACTGCTACAGGTATTAAAAGAAACTGCAAATGGTAGATTTTAAACTGTCGATACGTGATTACGTGTGCAAAAGTTACAAATAATATTTTCTGGGAAGGTACATCCTTTTATGTGATTGTGTAACCTTTTTCCGATCATTTTGAACACTTTGTAGGTATACTTCACCGATACATTATGTGTATGTATTAAGTAAGGTAATTACTAATTAATAATGACCCCAATACCACTACGAATACGAATGGTAAAGTTTTTGTTAAGGTTAAGGCTAATGGATTCTGAAGATAAAAACTTTGTGTTTACCATCCTTAAAAAGCTTACTCTTTAAAATTCTAAACAACTACAAGTTTTAATGATGATCATCTAAGATTTTTTTCGAACATATTTATTGATATTCTGAAAATATTATTGTAAAATTGTTTATGATCTGAAATGAAACGGATTTGAATAAAAGAGCATCTCTTCTCTTTTCATCGTCTATAAAACATTAAAAAATATTAGAAACAATTCCAAATGAACGAATAAAGGTCACTGTTTCTTGTGTGGTACTACATTACACATTATGCAAACAATTAATGTTATTGCAACTCGAGATAAAGTCAAGACTATTTAAATTATTGCATAGCAATTGGTATTTTCCGTATTGTTGCCATAGTTTTACAATAAACATACTAGGTAATAAAATAAAATTGCATAATTATTATTACTCACTTGTTTCTTGTACAACACTAAAGTCACTTTATACGCTGTGAGTTTTGCAATGGATGCGAGCAGACCATCTGTAAAAACAAAAAAATTCAATTTAATTATAATAACTAATAAATAAAAGAACTGTAGACATGTATTCTTCAAAACTGTTTTTAGTGGTTTAAAGAGCTGTTCACTTTTCAGGTTTAAAATTTTAATTTAGATATCTGTTGTAGTTTAAAATCTTTTTCTTTTTTTTTTAAAGCACAACAGAAGTAAAATGTATAATAGTCATAGCCATTGGTGAGCTAAAGATAAATACAGCAGATTTATAACAATTGCGTATACCAGGTGAATAAAAGGTATGGAACCAAGCGGTTTTTTTTCGTAAACTAAGCACTTTACGAAAAAAATAATTAGTGTAGCGTAAAGTACAACTCAAATGTGATCATTTATCAAGAATAACATTTTTCGAAATTTCTTTTAGTTTTCGAGTTCTGGAAAAAAAATTTTTTAAATGGCAACCCACCATGGTATTTTTTTTTAATTAAAGATTATGATCTAAAAATAACCTCTAATTAAATAAAATTGTTTTTTAGCCAGTACTTTTTTTAATCAATTGTTGAAGTTGCGTTCCGAGCTCATCCCGAAGATTTTCCGAACTTAACCGAAGTAGTTGTTTCATGCATTTCATCATGGGAGAGCGCTGATTTCTATGCAGGTGCTTTGGGGTGGTTTCGAATAGACTAAAAATGGAAGAAAATGATATGTTATTAGATTTTTTTATCCATCTGGAACCCCTCAAAGCACCTGCACAAAAAACAGGGCTCTCCAAAGACCAAAGTCATGAAACGACCCCCTCGTTCAAGTTCGGAAAATCTTCGTAATGGGCTCGGAACGGAACTTTAACAATTAAAAAAAATTATTAAAAAAAAAGTCCTGACTAAAAAATAATTCTGTTTAATTAGAGGTCATTTTTAGATCATAATCTTTAATTAAAAAAATTAACATGGTGGGTTGCCATTTAAAAAAAAAATCCAGAACTCGAAAACTAAAAATGTTATTCTTGATAAATGGTCACATTTTAATTGTACTTTACGCTACACTAATTATTTTTTTCGTAAAGTGTTTAGTTTACGAAAAAAACGCATGGTTCCATACTTTTTATTCACCTGGTATGTAAGTTTCACGACAAAAACAAATGGTTCCTGGCATTTGACACACTTTTGTCACAATAATAATTGTAAGCAAGTACAGGACTTCAAAACAATATTATATCACATGCCTTTAGTAATAGGTATAGAAGATCCGATCACAGTTTAATAGGTGTTATCAATCTTTTAAAGATATAGCAGCATAATTTCTTGAGCATTATCCACGATCAGCTAATTATAAAAATGTGGTGTCATTAATTAAAATTTGGTTTAATTAATTGGAACTTTATAATATGAATATGTTCACTATATGTTTGTAAAGTTGCAGTTAACAGTTAAGTGATATTTTCACTTATTAAGCAAAATTTGCTGATAGTTGCTTCAGGCGCTGGACCTGCCTGAAATTATCTTCACTGTGTCTAATTATTCCGCAAAGAACATGATGAACGGCAAGTAAAAAAAATAAAGCCGGTGAAAAAGTTACAATTAAATGCAGGATATGACCAAAGTAGCAGTCGTTCAACTGAGCAGTAAAAACATTTAATTGATGGCGTCCATTGGTATTCTCTTTTCCTGTTTTGACTGACTGTGTGTCAATTATATACTGCATTACTTAAGTGGTCATCCACTTACAAGTTACATTTTTATCTCGACCATTATTACGGTCTTTATACAATTAAATTTCCACTACTTGAAAATCTCTTTCTCGGTTTCATCGATGATGTGGATCATGACGTGAAGAAATTTCCTGCAGGAAAACCAGTTAAAAAGTGGACCTGTTCCGCTGCAGGCCCCCTAAAACTGTCCACCATCAAGTCGTGCGGATCTCCGATTTGTTGATGGAAATCAAGCTTGATTGTGGATAATTAAATTATTCTTTATCAGCACGCTCCTCGATGAAAACTCAAATTAGGTGTTCAGGTAATATTCATAAATGTGTACGAGTTTTTAACAAGGCTTGTTAAGGAAAAAAACAGCGAGTTTTAAAAAACGTAAAAATTCCTCCCACATTCATGCACAAATATTTAGTTGCTCCGAAACATCATTAAAATTTTATAAATTAATTAAAAACGTTTGATGTTATTAATTTAAAGTTTTATATTTTCCAGCTACTGGAATTTTGTAAGAAGGGAAAACTCATGCAAGCGATTCAATTTTCCTGCTTTTAAAAAACAGTTTAGTCAGTATTGCTTTTTAGATATTATCACCTAAAGGGAATAACCCTTGCCTCTGAAATTAAAAAATACGGATTTAATTATTCAAAGATCAAGAGATGGGAATTAAAAAGAAAGTGGATTGATGTGAAAAAAATTGGCACTTACAAAATTTTACACACAAAAAACCGTTCAATAGTAGGTAGTAGGAGAACTCATTTTGCAATAAAGTGATAAAAGGTTGTTAAATTTTTATTATAGGTACTTCTTACTCCGTTTAATGCAGTAAATAATAATCAATCTAGTAAGGCTACAGCTGAAAATTATGGTTCATAAAATCAGTCGTTGTTGTCATACACAATCTATTATGGGGGTATATTTATGAGATCAAGTGGCTCTTAAGTTGACCTATCATCTTATCAAATAAAATTTTTATTAAATACTAATTAAACAATGAATAAAGAGGTTAGGTTAGAATTGAAAAAATCCGGACTTTTATTAACACTTTTATTTCAATAAAATAATAAAAGTCAGGATTTCTTCAATTCTAACCTAACTTCTTTATTCATTAACTACCACGGACGATTAAAACCACATCTTGCCAAGATTAATTAAACACTCATGTGTCGTATTAGTGTTTTTTTAGGTAAATGATTGTATGTTTCAAACGAGAAGAAAATAACATTCAGAAATTTAATAAAACCGAGAACGCATCAATATCTATTGAATTTCACGTTCAGACGTAAATTCCGAATAACGTTCAGTAAGCATTTTGTGTTTTAATAATCTACTATGCAGGAATGATGGAATATTGAAGTGGTACGCCACTAGACAGACAATCAATACGTTTGCATGTTAGTAATAACAATAATTCAGCGGCTTGCGTTATTTAATCTGAACGTCTTATTTGAAGAGGCATTATTCATGATTTAAAATGTAAAACAGACGATGTGTTCGGCACTGATAATAGGCTGTGGCATAATCGCGAAGTAAATTTTTCATTGCAACCGATTCCGATTACTTTTCCCTTGAAAAAAAGTAGGAAAGGTGTGTTTTAGACAAGTGTGTTGTAAGCAATGACTTTTAAAAGAAATTAATGTGGGCCAATAACTTATTATAGGTCGTCATTCGGTGAACTGAACAGACTTTCATGACAAATAAATGAATTTTGTATTCATTATATTAAATTGATCGATGGATATTTTGAATGAATTATAATTAAAAGTAAATAGTGTGGAGGTTGATGTATTTACCCTTTCGGCGACTACTTTTTATAAAATTTCGATAATCTATAACGTAGACTAATTCGAAATTAATAATTTGTTTTTAACATTATGAAACTTTAATTGCTTGAAAAAGGTTTAAATATTTAAAAAATGCTTTTAACCTTTTCAAGTTTTCCCACCACCACAAAAAAATTAATAGATATGCTTAAAACCTTGACTTTAATTTTTTATCGTTTTGTTTTAACTTTTTGTACTAACAAATCAATTTGAGGGATAAAAGTGGTACCGACGTATTGATCATTTGCCATTACCTACAAGAATCAATTTTCATATGTCATGACTATTGAGTGTCATTATTAGTACCTACATAATTATGTATGCATTAAAATTTTGTGACCTGACAACGTAAAACTTTGCAAATTGCTTTTACTGTTATTAACTGGAAGGTTCCAGGTAAAGCTCACCTTTTTCAGAATATTCTAGCGGGCGTTGAAAAAGAAACCTTCCAGAAAAACACTAGGATATATAAACCCAGAGTAAAGAGGCGCTATCAGTCCAGATTAGTCTAGTGTTGAGATTAGGAACAAACTTCAGAAGTACCCCAGAGCGACCAGGCGATTATATTCGTGTTATTTCAATCATTTCGTTGTGTTTAAATAAATAAGTCAACTATATTCAAGGGCGTTTTACTAAGTCTCGAACCTACATTATTTCATAGACAGTGAAGTTGGTTACATTATTAATGAAATCAACGCATTATCTAACATTGAAAACCTTAACAGCAATTGCTAGAATTTGAAGAATTTAAATTTTTTCAAAAATGCTAGTGGTTTAGTTTAATGCCTAGAACCTAGAACTCATATTGCTTTATACTATACTTAATTGCCTATTAATAACATAATAAAACCGTTAATTAGTTACCACACGTTTACTACCAGAACTATTTTTATTGCTACTAATTTTGCTATAACAATAAATTTATTTTTAACAGTTAATTTGAAAATTACTTCTGTTAATTATATGTATACACCGGGTTTTCGTAGTAGCAACAACGAAAAAGTGAGAAAACAGTATTTATTTACATAATAAACAATCATTCTGATCTGTTGTGTGCTTAAAATACTGCGTTTCAAACAAAACTGAAACTTAATTTCGTTGCTAACCTTGTATTTCTTTGTAGTTTTAATTGCATCTGTAATCGTTCGTTCTCCAACAAACAGTCCTGGTTCAAGTCGATCTAGTTTGTATGAGATTCGATTTTATAAATGTAAGAAAGAGGAATAGCTTGCGATGGATGTGACAGTGTTCAGCGATTTCAGTTTCTTGGAAAACGAGAGGGAATATAATCTCGCTGGTGGGATTGAGAGCATTCACTTCAAGTGTTGACAGTCACAGATCGTGACGTCATTATAGGCGATCAATCTCCTGCTGATGCCTCTCTTCTGTCATTTGTAAAAACACTATACTTTGCGGCAACGCATAAGAAGTGATAACGTTCCCAAGACGATTTTTTTTCGGCGATGTCGATTAACCGCGGATTTCCTTGCCTGGCTGTCGA